TTTTTTTTTTTTTTTTTTTTTTTTTTTTTTTTTTTTTTTTTTTTTTGTCTTAGCTTTTTCAAAGTTTTATGGTGTCAAAAGTCAACCCAAAAATGTATATTTTGGGCTCTTATGCAGCCATATTTATAGCAATCAAGGTGAAACTTGGCACAAATATAAATTTTAATGTGTCGAACACATTGACATACAAATAACATTGGATTTGCTCATTTTGAGCCTTTTTAGGGGATCAAAGCTTACAAAAAAGCATAATTTTGGGCTTTTGGTCAATCACTTGGCCATATTTTGATGAATTGAATGTGGGATTTAGTACAAAGACATGTAGAGATATAGACAATTTTGAAATGTTTGTCTTTTTATCAATTTTTCAACAAGGAAAGCACAATTTGGAGTTTTCATGAACTATTCATGTGTATGTCAACCAACTTACAAAGATACCTTCTTGCAGGTCCCAAGCAGTGATATATACAGTTTCCCATTTTTCTTTGTTTTTCACAAATTTTCTGATGTCAGAATTGGCCATATTGGGATTGTGTGTTGGAGACATGTTGCATTTGCCCATGAATGTTGGGCTCTTTAATTTTAAGCTGCATTATTACACAAAACTGACTTACTGTTTCTCATCAGTCACTATCAATTGACATTATTGATCAAACAAACCAAGATTTTGACATTTTGGACTGTCTGTGAAGCATTGCTAATCACGTACTTAAAGTCAAATTATTGCAATGATGTATTTTGTATAAATACTTCTTACCTTATGTTTGAAAACAAGCAGAAAGGAAGTAAAATACTTGATTGTCATGTGCTTCTACTTAAATATGATTGACGTGGAAAGAGACACATTTTATACGAAGAGCGCTAGAATGCTAAAAATCTCTCGGATATCGTAGTTGAAATAATGAACTGTAACTGATAGATACACCTACACTACTAATCAAATGAATATGTATAACCTAATTTACATAGGGCATCTATGTATAGAATGTTTGTGAATGAAAAAAGGAAAATTGTCTTGAGCCCTGTAACAAACGTATAGATTCTCAGTTTTTATAGGTTTACTTGTTCTACAATGGTGAATTTCTGTTATGATAATGATGTAAAGTTTGCAGTCTTTTGAATATATAGCCTGAAAATGATTGTAATATTCATAAGTTTTCTATATAATTAATGACTCAATGTTGTTTTTTCTGTGTTATTATTCTAGTGTATTTATGTCCTTTAATAAAAGCAATGGTAAAGAATCTGTGTAGTAATGGGGATGTATTAGACTTTCACATATTTTTAATTGATGTGTTATCCCAAATATTACTTTTTATCTTCCATTATTCATAGGCTCAAGTTATGTAGCTGCTCCAGATGGAAGCAGAACTCCTGTAAGTACTCCCTCTTTTTGTTTATATTGCATTTATTTTTTCAGTAATGATAGCTAATTATTTCACCTTAACCTCAGGTAATGCTAAAGTAATATCTTATGCTAAAGTAATATCGTAGGATTAATATAGTACTGAATAGTGCTTGGGTAAAAATACAGAAAATGTTTTGTTTTACATGAAAGAAGATAATACAAATTGTATATTAATTTGTGTGAATATTTAGAATGTGTTTTATTTTAAAATTACATATTAAGACTATTTCGTATTGGTGTAATAAAATGTTCTAAGGTTAACAAATTACATATTGATTCAAGTGTATGTGTGCCAAGGATCTTTTAGCAAAAATTTCAGAAGTTTAGGTTTTGGGTTTTTACTGTGAAAGAAGAGTTATCTTTTCATGCAGGCTCCTTGGATAATGATATTATAAGTTGCACAAATTAGCTAAATGTTTTAGAATTTAGTATGCAAAAATGTCAAACTCAGTTGTAAGAGTTTTGAAATCATGTTAGAAGTAAACTAAAATGTGATTATAATTCGTGACAAGTGTTGTTGTGAATAGTTAAATAAAATCAGATTTATAATTTATGAATCACTGTTGAGATGGTAATTTGTAAAGTATGTTACTGATCTGGAAAATTCTTTTCACTGTTATCTATAAAACTATAAAACAAATTTAGATAATAGCTACAAACTGTGTAGTGAAATATTTAGATTTAATAGTTAGAGAAAAGGTATTTCTAAGGATATTTAATCAGGAAACTTAAAAATGTATTATAATGCACCATGTACACAAAACATTTATGGAACTCACCTACTTGGAAAAGCTGTGGTTTTTCTTCGCATTTTCTTGACAACCTTTAAATGAAGCAGTTTTTTAAGTTTTATTACAGGTGAAGATGGCTTTCTTAAACAAAACTGAATTATTAATTTATGTTTGTAATGTTGGCTTTGCTAAATCCATACATTTTTTTCATTCTTGAAAGATAAATGGTAATTGAAAACATTTGAATTAAAAAATTTTTATCAAAAAAAATCCTTAATTTAATTACAAAAAATTGAAAATTTTCATTTTAAACTGTTTTTAGTTGTTTTAAAGTTCAGACATAAATCAGTATTGAGAGTATAAGTTAAAACAAAAATTCCTACATATTATATTCATACTTGTCAACCCATTTTGGTGTTTGTCTGTAGTTATTACTGTGAAAACCCATACCTTTCTTAAATTACCCATAGGACTGTGTGACAGCTCAGGTTTTGGTGCTTAATTGTTAATATATAAAGCCCTTTGGTATCAATAATACTAGTGAAATTCAAAACAAAAAAGAAAAGAATAAGTACAGGAAATAAAATAATATTTATTAAATTCCAATAAGAGACATGCCAGTTGTAGAAGTATTTACAAATGCTTGCTTCTGATTTTTAACTTATTTGATGTAGCAACATTTTTATACATTCATTCACATCGTAGATACCAAATGTCGTAACTTTAACCCTTTGGATGCTATAATCAGATTTATCCAACTTGATGTTTATAGCTGTTTGGTGCGATAAGCGGATTTACTCCACGGTGTCGCAGAAACTTTTCCTCATAGTGTGATAATTGGGGCACTCACATGTTCTTGAATTTCCTGCCTTAGTATTGCTTGTGCATATATCACCAAGCAAAATCGAAACTAGTAGATTTTGATATTGAAAAAGTACTAAAAAACATCAAATTCTAAATTTCATTTGTTAGTGGATAATTGACATTTTCAAGAACCCACCCAAAATTTAATTATGCACTCAAAGAGTTAATATCAGATTTGCATATTGTATGTGTGTATTGTAGGTTTCTACCGGACTGAACTTGGTAGCCTCACAAACTTTTACGTTTTCCCAAGTCCTTTACCTTCTTGCAGGGAGTCACCATTTTGGAAGAAGGAAGTTTTAACATTGATACAATAACTCATTTGTAATGGCACAGAAGTGTATCACTGAAGAAACTGAAAAGGCTTGCAAATTATGATAATGATATAATAGTACTTTATTTCACAAAAATAACAACAACTTGGGCATTCTATTATATCTATAGTAAACAGTACTATTGCCATAGGCTTTCTAAACTAATAAAAAATGTAGTCGCTATGGCCAACCTGTAGTACTTGACAAAGCATTTGTTGCTTTATTTTATATTGTCTTGTAGTAAACTTGTTTCAACATGTAACTGTGATGAGGCTATTGCTCCAACTTGTGTCTTCCTATAATAAAGATGGTCAAATTGCATGGCCAAGAAGAATAAAAACAATTTCTTACCACCGTAAAAGAAACGGATTGAAATCTTATTTTTTATGATTTTTGTTTTCGGTACATTTGTTAGTACTTTTATATGGACATGACTAGGGGGAAAGTAATTATTTACAAATTGTATTCTTAGTGAGAATAAAATGCTTAACTGTAATAGAAGGTTTTATGGAATAATTACCAAACCATTTTTCTTTTGCTAATTTTTTAAATAGGGTTTATCACGCAATAGAGATGGACTTTTGGTGGTTGAATTAGACTTGAATATGTGTCGCCAAGTCAGAGACAAATGGGGCTTCAGGGTAAGTGCTTTTTTTTCAGTGCAGTGTGAAAGTAATTGGGACCCTTAGATGCTACATTTTATGTTCTTTTTCTGGTTGAAAGATTACAGATTAATGGGTAAAAAAGGATTATCATCACATTATTTAGTGTATTTGAATACATTTTTATGTAAATGAAAATAATACTATAAAAAGGCTTTCTGGGAATTAAGTGCAAAATGTATCAAAGAATAAATATAAAATTTAATGGCATTTTGCCAAGCTTTGAGTTAGCAAAGATTATTAAGTTTTCAATGTATAAATAAATAAAGTATCTAAAGTTTTCGTGTTCACAAGTGGAATAGATAACTTGTTGCTGTTACATATATGAAGGAGTATGACCTATGTTCTGTAAAAATATAATGAACTTAATACACAATGGCTTTATTTTTCAGGTAGTAATTAATATATATATATATATATTTAATATATCAAGTAAGCATAATAGAGCACTTAAGGGAAAGATAAAAAAATGCTGATACGAAGCAGTGAAATCAGATACAGAAACTTAGGCTTAACTGATTTTACCATAGCACAGTAGCAGTGGCAGATCCGGAACAAATCTGAAGAGGAGACAGTTTGTATTGGGGGTGTCACTGTCACTGTGTACAAAAACATATAAATAGCATACTTGTCCCGAAGCTTGTCATAGTATTGTTTAGCAGTTGAGTGGCTTAATTGGCTTATTCCATGTGTAAACTTGCTAACTTACATGCATGAAAAGTTCAACTATTGATCTTTTTACTCAATTTGGAATCTATGTGCTTGTCTGCTTGACCACAATTCTCTGGTTCCTAATCTTCCTCTTCCACAATGAACGTTCCGCCATTAGTACCATCCCGAGGTTGCAGTTCAAAACCTCTCAAAAGCTGCACATAGAGGATGCCTGAGGATCATGGTAACACAAATACTTTCTTTTACAGGCTTTATAATATGATATTGCTTGTTTAATTCATTCGATATAGATTGTTAGGTTGCCTGGATATCTGATATTTTGACATAAAAAATCTGGTATAGGTGCAACTCAAGTTACTGAAACCTTTATGCTGCATTTTGATAAACAATAATAAACCATTTTTTTTCATAAGGAAAAAGAGTACATAAATGACATGACCCTTGAAATGAGGCACATCATCTTTGGAAAGAGAGGTGCCATACCTGTGTTAGATCGGTGA